AGAAATATAATATGATACGAAATAGAAGGACAGCTAGTATTGCAGCTGTGTAAATACATTCTGGACGGTACAGATAGCTCTCAGAATATTTGCTAAAAAACAGTCCTGCCAGATGGAGTCTGCAGGAAAGATGTACATCACAAATGCCAAACTTATATGGATTATTAAAAGCAAACAGCCACTAAGGCTCATCCAGGGCTATTGGCGTAAAATAGCGGAGGAAACCTTGACTGTGAACCAAAGGAAGAAGCTGGCATCTAGCAACATTAAAAATCAATTATGTTTTGAATCCTCAAAGAGGTGAGCTGTTAAAAGTTAGAGCAAGAGGTCGGCGGCTCATCAAAAATAGTTTTTGAACAAGTACTTGTTGAGCTTAGTTTTCCTGGAGGCATGTGGAAATACTGAGTTTTAGCTAGAAATCAGTTCAGAGAGAAAACTTTGCGGGGAGTTAAAAAAAAAAAAAAAAGAAAATAAAGAAGTTTTTTTCTTCTTTTTTTTGTGAGCAATGATGGCTATGTGGTTTCACTTGCTTCAGAAGAGGATCAGAATTTGCAGAGTTGAGAATCAGCAAGGAAACATGAGCTAGGACTAGACCAGAGGTGGGAGAATGAATTTCAGCCTGTCATTTGCTGCCATAAACTAAACCGGGCAGACAGTTTCCCATCATAACAATTTCCCATGCACGTAAAAATGGGCCTGGCCTGGATCCAAGCTTCAGAATAGGCAGAGGATATTTTCTAAAGAAAATATTTATCTTATCTCTGGGTGTTAAATGTGTATCGTTTAGGGTGCTTCACACCACTGGAGGTGGCGGTAAAGGTTCATAAGCGAAGTTCATGGAATTAGGGACGTGCAGGGGAATCCCAAGGGCGATACGGGGGCTTCGGCTTCAGTTCTCCAAACATGGACAACTCGTGGACTGACGACAAACAAATGTTCCCGTAAAGCTGCGACTTGCGCAACTGCTCTGTGCGTATTTTGATTGTGTGACACTTGTTTATTTCTCCGCAGAGGAATCCCAAGCGAAAGCAGGATGCCCTTCTGCAAGAGAGCTACTATCTGGCTACACTTTGCCAAAACCTTGAAGCAAGAACGAAAACAATGATCAGCAACCCTTATTTCTCGTGCAGCTCCCGGATGGTCTTTTTGCATGTACTTCTTTACCTTTGACAAAGTGCTGACTCCATAAAGGGAGTGGAAAAATCCCTGTAGACTCAGAGATGTAACAAACTGAGAGGGTGACCTTTAACTGTTGAGCACATCAAAGGAACTGCACATCCTGTTTAAAACCCAGCAAGTATAGTAACAGAAGGTAGATCTTTACTGGGTTAGATATAGTTAAGGTGGCAACATTAGCTCTGTAGGAAGGCGCTTACCTGTACGGCTTGTTTCCTGCAAGTTCAGATCTAAAAGACTCTTCTTGGAGCGGGTCAGCAAAAGGATGAGGGTGACAATCCCAGGTTGCAGCAAGGCAGATTGCAGTTGGATATAAGGGAAAAAAAGCTCACTATGTGAGTGAGCAAGTGCTGGAAAAGGGATCTGGGGAGGCTGTGTAAGCCCTTTTCTTGGAGACACGGAAACCTCGCGTGGGCAAGGGCCTGAGCAACCTGATCTGACTTTGCAGCTAGCTCCCTGGCGCTGGACTAGATGAAATCCCTCCAGAAATCCCTTCCAACCTAATTTAGTCTGTGATGATGAGCACCTATTTCTAAAACCATGTAAGCAGGGCCGTGTAAAACACGTCTGGTGTTTGTGAATGGACGGGTGCTGGACTGCACAAGCAGCCTGCCACAAGAGGGAGCGGATGCTGGAGGCCGAACACCGTGCACCCTGGGCGCGTGGCCAGCAGAGGCAAAGCTCTCGCGGACCTTGTCCCCGTGCGAGGGGCAACCACTGCGTTGCTACTGAGCGCAAAGCCCGGGACACGTGAGCTGAGGAAACGCAGGCCGTTTCTTGGGTGCTGTACTGATGCCAGGTGGATCCGGTGCCAAGCTCGAGCTGTTGCATCCAACGCAGCAGAATGTGGATTTTGCCTCCGCTGCATTTTCCTAAGAAGGTAACCTGCTCCAAAGAGCCTTAAGAGAAACAAGAAAAAGCTATAAATCTCCTGCTAGCTTTCACTTCTCCACTCTGCTCAGTGTGCATGAAAAAAAGCTGTGTGGATTTTCTATTTTAAGTACTACTGAAAACGGGGTGCCTGGTATGCCGTGTTCTTAATTTTGTGCAGTGTTTGCAATACTCCTTCAGTTTGCAAGAACTGATTTCTAAATGACAAGATACCTGAGTGTCTTTTCTTACCTAGCCAGTTTTAAAGGTAAATGTGTCTTACTGTTGTAGTATAAAGAATATTTTGCGTATTTTGTAACAGCAGGAAACGTAGAAGGCAATTTTATTCTCTGAATTTTGGGTCTTAGTTAAGTAGGAAGTTGTTGTAGTTACCAAGAGCAGCAGTTCTGTACGAATACCCAGAGCTTAGACAACACGTACAGATGAGGATCGGTTCTGTTAGGAGCTGCTTGATATTGCTGAGCATATAGGCCTACTTCCTGCTTAAAGTCTTCATGAATATCACCGTGTCCTTAATATTGATTGGGGGGGGGGAGAGAAATATTTGGATGAAAAGTTGCAATGTGCAACAGCTTTATGCAGCACCAGAACAGAGTCCCTGAGTGAACTAGATTTCTTACTTTCTCATTAAGCGTTTTGAACCGGTGCTTAAATTACACACGGGTTTGGAACGGCAGTTACCCCTACCGCGCAGCCGAGGACGCAGTAAATCATGAGATCTCAACGCTCCCGTCAGGAGTCGCTTTGCCAGGTCCAGCGGAGCGCGTTTTGACAGAGGCTGCGGCTCTGCGCTGCGCACCTGGAAAGGCTGCGCTCCGGCCTCGGGAAGCATTTCCAGGACGGTGGTTTTCAGCGCTCGGCGTTTCTCAAAACCTTTGCTTTATGTGCCGTGACCGGAAGAAAATAGAGAGAGGCGCTCTTTGTCTCTTAGCTTTGAAAAGGTGTGAGCAGCAGGAAAAATCCAAACTCGGGGGATGTTTGAAAACACTGTCTGCTGCCACCTCTGCCGTGAGTTTGCGCCGCTGAGTGCGCTTGTGCAGGAGCGGCGGGGGGGGCGGCACCGGGTGTCCACGTAGGCTGTCCCATGCTGACGCAAGGCTTGTTACCGCCTGTGAGAGTGTTATTTCCACAGGCCGCCTTCTTTACGGTAGGACTCCTTTGTTAATGCTCATCCTCGTGGCGTTTGTCACCGTTTTGTAGCATCGGTTTTGAAGGCAGCATCCGAGCAATTCCAGCGCGCCAGCAGCAACGGGGCAAAACCCTGACGAAAGAGATGAGCCTGTCGGGAGCAGGGGCTGGAGGGGACGCGGCTTGCCCAGACCCTGGCACAGAGAGGGCACAGGGAGAGCGATGCAGGTTAAGCGGGGGGCAGCAGCGCGGGTCGGGGACCCCGGCGGGGTGGTCCGGAGGGGGGACACCAGGACGCGTCGTGGGCAGTGCAGCGGGGCGGCTCTCGGAGGGGAAGCCCGGAGGAGGCTGTTTGCGTTTGCTCAAGTCCGTACACGCTGTTCAAAGGCTTCTGGTTCACCTTCCAGAAAGCAGCCCCACAGGCTTTGAGGAAGAGCAGATCTGTGCATTGTCGAAGGAGCCAGCTGAGCTCTCGGGTTAAAGGCGCCCAGCTAGCCGCTCTGCCAAGGTCGGCACTTTGAAGCTGGAGGTGGTTTTGCCTGATAATGTGTGGTCTGACACAGTGCTATGGAAGCAGTTGTCTGGCTCTTTTGGTTTGTTTTGCATTTAGGAAATTATACAATAAAGCATATCTGTCTTGAAGTTACAAGAATTTCAGAAACTTAAGATTTCTGAGAAAATAGACCTCAACAGTAGTCATTAGATAATAAGATGCATAGCATTAGTGAAAGCTCCCACTTACTTCAAAATTACTGGATTCAGCAATCTGAATTTGTCAAAGAGTTTTAATACTGTGGGCAGAAAAAACAAGAGTGAAGGAAAGAATGGGAACCTGCTTGGAAAGAAATTCAGCAGCTGCCCTTTTATTAAGGGAAATTTGGAGCAGTCTTTCTCCACTGGCAATATGAGGTTATGTTACATCTAAAAATACTTGCTGTCTGTATGTTGTATAGCGTGTGAGATGTCCAAGGATACACAGGGCAAAAGCTAAGAGTGAATTTACAAATATGGAAGTACTGTTATCGTCCTTAAAGGGTTCCTCTTTCCCAGGAAGTTTGGGATAAGCGATCAGGCTTGTTCCTTTTTTTTCCTCCCTTCCTTCCCTTCCCCCTTGAGATCCTGAAATGCCTTCCCATCCACGACCACTTATTCTCCTTGATTCCTGCCTCAACCACTGGGCTGACCAGCGCCACGTTCCCTCACTGCTCGGTGGCACGCTGGGTCACCCCCCGTTTCACCCCGGGGAGCGCTGGCGGCGTCCCCATCAGCCTCGCTGGGGAGGGCACTGGGCAGCCGCAGCAGCACAGCAGGGAAGGGATCACGTGCTGGAAATTCCCAGCTGCAATACTTGTATCGGGACAGCGCTAAGGAGGTTTCTAAGCAGGGATGCAGACGAGCGTAACGTGATTTGGGGTGGTAGTGGTGGAAGGAATTTTGAAGCCCTTCCCTCAATTTTTTTTGTTCAACAAGGTGAATTTCAAAGTGATCAGCCTATTTAAAAGAACTTATGGTATGCGGCACGTGTCTTTGCTCCTAAAGTACGTTTCATTTAACTTTAAACTTTCTATTTAAAAGCTGGTGTCCTGCTTCAAGCAGTAAGGAGAACTAACGCTTCTTGCTGGAAATCAGCACGGAAACCAGAGCGCTGACCTTGCAGTTCACAGCCTACAGACATAGCTGAGTCTACGAGACCTCCTGGGGTTTAAGCAAGGCTGTAAGCTCTGCAGTGAAAAGCATGGCAAACTGCAAAGTAAAGGTTCACTTCCGTGCCAGGTAAAGCAGACGTTTCTTCCTGGGCTCCAGACACAAAGTTTTTGCCTGGGTCCTGCTCAGCTTGAGCTGGCAGCGCTGCTGCAGCTCGGCTGCCGCCGCGCTCTGAGGCAGCCCGGGGACTGCCCCCACGAGCTCGCAGCCTGGGCCGGCCGTGCGGGGCAAGACCCTTGCTCGTTTTTCGGCAGGCGTTTCTCTCTTGAGCTGAGCGCTCTATTTTATTGCACTTCATATGTTTGATCGAGCACAGCAATTGAACGCGCTCAGGTTTTAATGTCGAGGAGCGTTTTAGTAAAGAACGAGATGGAAAATAAGCACGTCACAAGGGATGAGAGGAATGTCCTTCCTAACCGCGATTTGATGCACTTAAATAGCAGCAGCTGTTTACTGAATCTTTTGTGCCGCCGTCTGGCCTGGCTGCTGGAGGGGAGGAGGGAGGCCCGGCAGCTTGACTCCGTTTCCGAAGATGGTAAATGACAGCAGCGTGCAGAAAAGCTTTCCTTTCTTACTGTGAAAGTTTCCGTTGAAACGCGCCTGTTTGAAAGGAGCAGCCCCCCTCCCATGCAGCCCCTCCGTGCTGCAGCCTTATGGGGCACATCTGGCTCTCCAGCTCCCTGACAGCCCCCTTCTCCCGGACGTGGGAACCCTCAAAATGCGACGTACGCGCTCTCCGCCCCCGTGCTTTGTTGCTAGTAACTTCCTGGCTGTTCATGAAGAGCCTGAAGGATGTAAACCGATGGCTGAGGCTAAATAGTGCGAGTAGCAAAGCTGCGTTTCTGCAGCCGGAGCCTGCAAGGACTCACTCTGGGCCGAATCCTGCTCTCCGAGGACTTGATTTAGTACTTCTTGGTCTGTGAGCCGGTGGCTTTTCGAAGCCTGATGCCCGAAAGCTGCCGGGCCTGCGCTGTGGGCAGAGGTGCGCCTGGGCTGGCAGCGAGTTACGCTCTCAGCAAGAGGTGCCAAGGCAGGTCCGGAAAGAGGCATTTCGGCTCCCAGAAGTGAAAAGCGGAGGAAACAGGAGCACGTGTCGCGCCTCCCTGGTCTCCTTCCCCGCGCGTTGCCCCTGTGATGTTGTGCGTAGCTGCAGCGGGGGCCGCAAGTCAGCGGGGAGTGTTCTCCTTGTGCCCGTGGTCCCCTGTAACGTTCCCCCCGCTTCTGCCGGACGTTTACGGAGCCCGGCTCGGGGCAGGAGAGGCGCCCGACCCTCCGTCCATGCCGGTGCGCTATCGCCGCGCCGCCTCTGGATTTGTCCTGGGGCCGAGGGGTGCCGGGCGGTCTCCTTCGCCGGCCGCAGGGTGGAGGAGAGCAGTAGCAGCTGCTGGGCCTGTTCTGCTTTATTCCAGCCCTGCGCTGTACTCGCCAGCTTTCTGCACCAGCTTAATTAAATTAAATTAATTGTTAGCAAACCATTGCGGTTTTAAACGCATGTAAGACTTCCATGCGATTCTGTTTATCTTTTATTTTTGGAGAGTACCCTGCTGCATAAAATGGATTTTACTGAATACAAGTAAGAGAAGGAAACCAAATGCAAGGTCAAAGCAGTGCAGCAGGGCTCGCGTTTTGAACCTGGATTTCACTGTATCTAGATGTAACGTGTAGCCTGAGGGATTGTAAGTCTGTATACGTTTTGTGTCTGGATGAAAACTGAGGCAGAGCATAGCGTATAAATATTCAGTTTCTCTGAGCAGAAGTAAGAGCAGAGGTCAGCTTGTGCAGAAGTGGCACGTCTCAGCTCTTTCCAAGGACAATTCAAGCCTTTTTACTGCTAAAGGCAGTATTGAAAAATAAATTGATAGAAAATGACCCTCCTGATAATTCCTTCCGGCTATACAAAGATAAAGCTGTGGCAATGGATAAAAGCAGAGAAGTCCTCCTCCCGACCGGTCAATGTGGGAAGAACATAGGAGGATCCCTTGGTTACTGCGCAGACAGCAGAGGAAAAATTATTTCTCCTGCCAGGTGTGGTACAAATCTGAGACAAATCAAAGCGTTGCCACAGAGTACGCTATGCTCTGGTGAATGGGCGTATTGCTCGAGAATATCATCCTGGTCTCGCGAGGTCTTTTCCTTATTCCAGCCCCAGTAGTCGGGGCTGAAGGAAACTGTTCTCGTGAGAAAACCCAGATGCGTAGACTGAAGAAGTGGTTCCCATGTTATCCTGAGGCCCTAGCCAAAAAGGCTCGAGTGTTGTTCACATGAGAAAAAAAACTCGATGGAGTCGATCGTCTTTGATGTCGGTTAAACGAATGGGACCGTTATACCCCATGATGCCTCCTCACCAGGACCGTTTCTACAGAGCTTTCCTGTACGTCGCGTTAGACCTCTTCCCCTCGCAGATGCTCTCCATGCCGCTGCTTAGGTTATGGGGTTCGCACGGAAAATACCGAGGGGTGAGGAGCGTTTCCTCTCTTTAGTTAGCGCCACAGTTCCCCCTGTGTCGTGTTTGTATTGGATCTTCATTTGTGTCTCTGTGCTACTGCGTTTATTCAGCTGTCCTCGAGACCACTTTAGAGCTGGTTTTAAACCTGCTTTCTTTTGCATAAGGCGGCATGTTCCCGCTGTTCAGAAGTCCTTCCTGCCAGATGGTCCCGCAAGTTAACGCTTTCCTGGGTCTTGTGAAACGGAAAAGGCTGGAGCAAACTTCTCAGCAGAGGCCCCTTAGGAATTTTTTTGTCAAAGTAAAGGGATTTGTTAGATCAGCAGTTTGCACCTTTCTAAAGCCAAGACACAAGGTTATTCTTAATCTTATTTTTATCTGTAAACTTTTCCTCTCTAAATCAAAATATAAACTTTTATAAAATATGTGCAAATGCATTCATTTTTATCTTTGAAAGTCTTAATTACACCGCTCAGTTAAGCTATATTTGCATATTATCACAATAATTCCTTTAAAAACATATTTATGTTCCATCAGGGCAGATGCCCAGATGGGCAAATAAGGCAGTTAATTTTTCCTTTGATTTGCACTTTGTATATTGTAGGCAACAGGGAAGCAGTATGATACCTAGGCTGGAAATAAAAGTTTATTAAGAATATGACTTTCACTGTGCTGCTTTTCAGTGTCCTGGTTCCAGGTCTACTCTTACTTCAGCCTAGACTTTTATAATCAAAATGCTCTAGTAAGAGGAAGAAAGGACGGGGTTTCGAAGAGGCTGCCATCAGCGGGTAGTCTGCTCTGAGTGACTTGAAATCTGTTGTCTGTGGATGTCCCTTGAGATATCTGTGGCTTTATTCAAGAACACGCAACTTTAGAAAGGAAGCCGTTGCGCAGGCATGTGTTCCTGCCTCCTGTTGTTTTGGACGACTGGCATAAAGGCAAGGGAAACGCCTAAACAAGCTGAATCTCTGTTGCTTTATAATTTTGTTGTATCTTGGATGATGCTACTCTGCTATTCTATTTTAACCTCTGGAGACGAGGAATTCATGAAAACAACTTCCTATATTAATAAAAACAAACAACCTTTTGTGCTGCTAGAAAAAGGTTTATGAACATAAACTTTATTGACTCGGAGTGGAAAGCAAAGGAAAGGTCAACATTATTTTTCTTTTTTCATAATCTTTTGGAAAAAAATTTGAGCATTGACTATGCACTATTAAAATTCCAGATCTTGCCCTCCGGACTTCTTCCCTTATGTTAAAAAAATTGGCAGGATCCCTGCCTCTGAATTCAGATGTCACTAGAAGGACCAAGGAGACGCCTGGTCCTCGGCTTTGTAGGTCGTTCTGCCAGGAGCCGTGAGCGTGGGACGTAGCTCTTCAGCTCCTGGTGGAGTCTGTGTTTACTTTGCGCAGAACAGGAGGTATTTCTCAACTGCCTGCAGCAGCGCTTTGTGACTGACACCTGAAAGACTTGCACAAGTTTGAGTATTATATTGGGGGGGGGGGAGAAGGCAGAGAGAGTAGTGGGCGCTTTAATTACTCTACGTTGTTGTCATGCCCGTTTTTGTCATCTCAATAAAGTGACCCTTTCAAATTTGGCACATATTGCCCTTGCTATGACGTGGGAAAAGTGTTAGACCTTAGTGCTCTGCAAATACTCCGAGGTGTCATGTGTTTTAGCAGTACAGGGGTCACTCAGAAGGAGAAGCTGATTTTTGGAATTTCTCAAAAACAGTTTCAGTTGTCAGTTCGGTAGAAAGTTTCCCAAACAGTGGGAACAAACCAGCTGATGTGGCTCTGATGGACAGCGATGTGGAGGCAGAGCTGCCTTGGGGAGGTGGGAGCGCGGGGTCCGCCAGGCCGGCTCAGGGTGGTGGCTCAGTGGTTCCCTCCACGGGCAGCTGGTGGCAGCAGCAGTGTTTACTGGGAGGCTAAAGGTGCAAAAACTTACAGCTTGGGGTTTAACAATAACTAGAGGTCTTTTGTTAAAAAAACAAACAAACCAACTCTTGGAGAACGCAGCTGTCTTACCGTTTCTCCCTGCTGCCTTCCCCTTCTGTTCGTTATTCTCTTTTTCTTCAGAACTTCACCCCAGACTTACCAGAAGGAGAGGCGTTTTGGCTCCGCCTAAGCTAGTAAGTCCACCACCACTGCCGACAGAAAATGTTGCTGTTTCGTTGTCATCGGTGAATAATTGTGGCGTCTCTTTGCTTTAGCAAGCTTGCATACAGAAATGAAGAGAAACGCGACATGGCTGTTCCTGTGGCTGTTGGTCTTCCTCTCCGATACTGCAGCGCTCAGCAAGGAGAAGTCACTGAGAGAGCGAGCTATTAAGCTGATGCAAGATACGCGTTTAATCGACGGGTATATAAAATGTCTTGTGTTCAAATAAACCCTCTCAGGGAACCTTGATAAGCGACAAGAAGATGGTAAAATGTATTTGCAAGAGTAGCAATGTAAGCAGTCCGCAGCACGTAGCAGTCGCTGCTGCAGTGATTTCTCAGTCTCTAGGAGTTCCAGTTCAGAGGGTGCTTGCTGCAGGGTCAGGTCATTCTAAACGAACTTGCAACTTTCTATTTGGAGTCCAACACTGACCTATTTTTCCCCTTGACACAACACCCTTGTCTCCTTCCCATAATTTAATGGCACCTTTCATTAGCGGTGACTTCTGCACGCAGCCAGCAGTAAGGCACCGTAACTTGAAAGGGTGCCCTTACATCTCGAAGGAGCAATAGTTGTGCTGGGTGTGTTTTGACCTGGCATAGGATGCCATACCACAAGTATTTGCTTCTCAGGAGCGTGGCTGCTGATGTCAGCTCTGCTGTCCTTTCAGAAAGGATGGGGAGGAAAACGGGTATAGAAAAACATCAGCTACAAAAAATGGCAAAGGCAAAAAATGAGTTTGCTGTGCTGATTAGAGAGCGTTTTAAAGAATAAAACTTGTTTGGGAAAGGAGGGAGTCTTAAGCATATGTTACTGCAAGTATTACCAGCAATTACTGGCCTAAGGGACTAAGTTAAGAAAGGGACAGTTAAGAAATTAAGTTTAGGTTAGAAGAGGAAGAACTTTTCTATCACGAACCCCTTTTGTTTTCTATTTTAGCCACAATGACTTTGTACTGCGGCTGAGAATGTTTTACCGAAATAGACTCAGTAAAGTCAACTTAAGGGAACTCAACAAGACCCACACAAACCTTAAGAAGCTTCAGGCGGGCTATGTGGGAGCTCAGGTACGTACCGCCGCCGCAGCGAGACCGTCTGAGAACGCCTTTTTGCGCTTGCTGCCTCCCTCCTCCGTCGCAGAAGTACTCTGGGCTTTGGGGTTTGGCTCTTTAAGGTGAGAGGGGAAAAACAAAATGAAACTGAAGAGAAACAGACACTTTTCATAACATTTGTGTTTGAAATGTCTGTGGTTTACAGTCCAGGTACCCTTAACCAAAACGGTGGCCTCTGTTTTGTGACAAATGAATTAAATAAACTCACACCTATTTTCCTGGGTGAACCGTGGAGTGGTTGAGCGCATCAGAAGGCCTTAATCATGCTTCGGGTGGAGGCTCTTGCCTTGAAGCTGTAGCTTTTCCTTTTGGGGGAAAAACTGTAGTGGCAACTCCCTTGTAAACTGTAGGAAAGGAAATGCTTTTCATTGCTGTGGTCTGTGCTCACGAGCTCGTTATTAGCAATCGGATGTTTCCAAGTTGGAGCCCAGGTTACCTAGTTGACTTGTCAATGTCTCTTGCAGTTTTGGTCAGTGTATGTTCTTTGCAGCGCTCAGAACAAGGATGCTATACGCCTGACCTTAGAGCAAATTGATGTGGTCAAGAGGATGTGTAACAGCTACGAAGAACTTGAACTTGTGACGACTTCCCAAGGTGATGCTCTTTTTTCATAATAGAAGTCTTTTTAAAATGAAATTGCAGGATCTATGTGCAAAGGAGAGAGAACTGCAAGCAGGCAGCTTATCCTGGTCTTAAGAGTAACTTTATTCATTGAACCGCAATAACTGAGTCTGTGCACAGTCCCAGCCCGCTGCAGTCAGGAGATAATTTGCCATATGAGCAGGCCCTGAGATGAAGTACATGTTACATAAAAATGTCAGTATTACTGCTTGTAATTTACAGCAATGACTGTTGTTTGGTACAGCTGGCTTCTTATCTATCACGAAATTACTTTGGCGTTATCTTCCTCTGACATTTCCAGGCATCTCAGACAGTAGGAGGATTGCGTGCTTGATTGGAGTCGAAGGTGGCCACTCCATTGACAGCAGTCTGGCAACGCTGCGGATGTACTATGACCTGGGCGTTCGCTACTTGACTTTAACGCATTCGTGCAATACGCCGTGGTAACCGTTGTGCATGTGTTTGTGTAACCAGATATCGCAAAGAGATGCCACTTCCCGGATGGGGCAAAAATGGATTCAGAAGGAGGGGGTCTCCTGTGCCAGATTTGGTCTGAACCACCTCGATGGCCACAGGTGGCTGGGTAACTCACCCTGCCTCAGGACAAGTGGGACACTTACTGTGACAATTTGGAAATTTGTCACTATTTGTGACAACTTTAAAATTTTGTTAACTACGGAAAGACAGGGAAATTGCCATCATGTTTCCTTTACTGGAAAAGTTGCAGAGGGCAGAGCAGGCAGAAAAAGGACTAAACATGCATATGATGCAGATTAGGGAGTGATGCTACGTGAGAGCTCAGTAGTCAGCAGCCAAGACTGTCCTCTCGGCCCAGCTCAAAAGCACGTGTCCCCTGTGCAGCTGCCGAGAGGGGCACTTGGTTCCTGTGTCACAGCAACAGCACCTACTCCTTCCTGGCTTGGCACGCTTCCCTCTTATGCTGACGCGGGAAAGGGAAGCATGCGCAGAGAGGGCTGATTTCCGGCTGGCAGGAAACTGTCGTTTCAGATTCAGTGTGTGTGTGTTTTCTGGCGAAGGTTTGTTTAATCAGAAAATTTCTGATGAGCTTCTCTTTGCTTGTGCTGTGTCGCTTCACAAACGTGCAGCAGTCCTGCACCTGAAGGAGTAACTTCTAGAAGACAGTTAGGAATGGGAAGTGCACTACGCGACTAAGATGTGTGTTATGTAGCTCGTTCTCCCTAAATCTGGCTATGCGACATCAAGGTGGTGATCTCTTTGGTGTGTGGCACAAGAAGTGTCAGCTGCTGATGTTGCAGTCTCCAGAATGATGCGATGTTTCTCCTCCCTCACTCCCCCTTTTAAGGTCTGAGTCGTCGTCTAAAGGAATACACAGCTTTTATCCTAATGTTGCTGGTCTGACGGCGTTTGGCCAAGTAAGAACTTCTTTTGAATGATAATCAAAGCAATGTCTTATGCAACTGACAACTTCTGGCCTTATCTTTTCAAAAAGCAACATGTCATTAAAAATTAATTACGGGAAATTCTTGCTACTTAGGGGTGAGAGCTCAAGCAAGCCAAATCCCTTGTGATGTTCCTAAGGGTGATGGAAGCATTAGTTGTAATTGCAGTCGTTGTTCTCACACAGATCAGATGTATGAATTAGCCTGTGGAAATAGTGGGATGTGAATAAAAATCTGAAGGGTTAGGTTTGGAGTACTTCTGTCCTGATAATATGCAGGTTGACTGAGCTTTCTAAATCTTGAGCATGTGGTGGTGTGCTACTTAATTGTGAGTGAAGAAACTACTATTAAATTAATAGGCAAATAGACACCCATACAGGCGTAGCGTGTTTACAACTAGCTGACGGCTGCAGAATGTATTTATCTGGTTTCATACATCAGCTAGACGATTTTCTTTAAAGAAACATAATACTGATACTGTTGCCTGTAAATCTGTTTTAGGAAGTGGTAGAGGAGATGAATCGCCTGGGTATGCTGGTAGATTTATCTCATACTTCATATTTCACAGCGAAAGCTGCACTACATATCTCAAAAGCACCAGTAATTTTCAGCCATTCTTCGGCTTTTGCCGTTTGTAACCACTCAAGAAATGTTCCTGATGATATCCTCCGGCAACTGGTGAGTGACCTTTTTTTTTTTTTTTTTTTTAAAAAGGCAGCTTTTGCCTGGCCTGACACAGACTGATGTTATGTTTACCTGCAGATGGACAGATAGATGGAGCACAATCTACGTAAGAAAGACGCTTTGGAGGTTGGCAGAAACTCTGAATGGCCATTCATTGCCCTCCCTTTTCTCTCTTTCAGAAAAACAACAAGGGAATTATCATGGTGACTTTCAATGCAGATGTACTGGCCTGTGGCAGAAAAGCTGTTAATGTTTCTACCCTGGCAGGTTTGAAGTTAATATACCACAGTCTTTATGGGTGGCTTCTTTGAATTTCTTGAGTCATGTTTCAGACTGTGGAAATTATGCTGCTTGTTTATTCTCTACCCCACCTTACCCCAGCTCTGGGTCTTTTTGGAGCTTACATTCATTAAACCATAACAAGAGGTACAAGATATTAATATGTAGGTGGAGGAACTGCTGCTCCCAAAGGGAGCCAAGAATCATTAATCCCAAAGTAGTTGTTACTTTCTGGAAAATGCCCTAAACCTTTGTAGTTAAGAGTGGAAAACCTTGGTATATAATGAGTAACATAAAATCTGTTGGTGTATGTGGGATATTTGCTGGGAATTAAGGTACTGTGACGTTCTTGTCTTTTTCCTCATTAACATCTCATCAGTGTAGCTGTTACTTTGAAGACTGTTACCTGGGGTACATAGCAACAGTTAACATCCACTTAATCACCAGTAAATATCAAGAATACATCAACTGCATTATTATGTTTAACTTGTTTTATCACAATGTCTTTAGACTTTTTTTTTTAATTTGATTATGAATCCATGATTATGGAGAATGTTAGCCTAGCACCAATGTGTCTGAACAGAATTATTTTTTATTGCTGTATGCTTAGGTGATGTTTTGTTTTCTTTGACATTTTCTTTTAGATCATTTTGACCACATAAAGAAAATCGCAGGTTCTGAATCGATAGGAATTGGTGGCGACTATGATGGAGTGGAACGGTAAGTAAAATGGTACATGCACTAATACTTGCTTCTTAACTTATGAGAGTTTTGATTTCTTAGGGGGAAAAAGAAGGCAGACTGAAAGAGCTGTAGCAAGTTGTCTTGTGATGAGTACTAAAATAAGTTTTATCAAAGACCGGCTCGAGCATTTTGTGTTAGAATTGTATGCAGGTGAGCTCCAAGCATGGAAACTAGTCCTGATGTCTTGTAAGCTTTGCAAGTGGGTGCTCTAGGCAGGGATTTGTGTATACAAAAAGGGTGATGGACGGTGCCTTCTTCCAGAAGTCGATGATGAATGATAGAAAAGCTGCCTCAGCCCTTAGAAGGTGAGTGTGTTAGCCCAGTGGTGCTGTAAAGGTTGGTCTTCCGCTATTACTTTGCAGTGGGGAAGCCCAAAGTGCTTTGGGATGACGAGAGCGCTCCTGCTCCTTGGACTTGGGCTGCCATCCTTGGCACCTGCTCGAGGAAAGCGGAGTAGAGCAGACTGCCTGGTCTCTGCAACGTGACCCCCTCGCTTGCTCCTTGGGGAAGCTGTGAGATGGACTGGTGATATGTGGCAGCACAGGAAATAAATGCAGAGTGGGTGGCATTTGCTAGCATAACCCTAAACTTTCTTTGTTTTTTAGTTTCTGTTGAATCTTCAGCTCCTCCATCTATTTGCTGGGGTCAGGCACATGTGGGTATGAAAGTCACGCTCAGATTCACGTCTGTAGAGTAGGATGATCACAAAACAGCGTGTCTGCTTCCATGAGGTTTAGCTACTCATAGCTCTGAAACTAGAATCTGGGAGGAAACCAGAGTTTACCACAGAAGGAGACACTTTATTCTGTGCATTTTCACAAAGAGCACCGGTATCATTGATGATGGAGTAGTTACGGTTGTAACTAAACCCTAGAAAGTAATGGCACGGGTTGCTTGAGATAGATACACTTATGACAGCAGCCTCCCCAGAAGAGAAGAATAATAGAAAACATCAGTGGTCTCAAAACAAAGCCAAAGACTCATAGAAATAACACTTGAAACAGCTATTAAGTGCAAGTGTGGCAACTCCTTACTTCCAATTTGCCTTTATTCTGAAAAGAATTAGCACAAGACATGGAATCGGTTTTGTTTTTTGTAATTTCTTCAGTGGAGGTTTCTGAGTAGTTTTCTTTTCACTACCTGAAATACTGAATTCAAAGCAACATTATTATTCTAATTTTATTTTGTTTGGAAAAATAACTTTGTAACCACCAGAATACAAAAAAAATTGCCTGCTATCCTTTACTGCATCATGTTTCTGCAGGTTCCCTTTTGTTCACAGCTACAGGGCTGGAATGCACTAACTCCCCCTATAATACAGCTGCTTCTTCTTACTCTAAAGGCCAGATGTAAAGGGAAAATTATTGCCTACATGAGTTTTTTGTATTTTTTTAAATATCCTTCATGCTGTTGTCCTGCCTGCACGTAAGTATCATTCCAGAATACACAGTTCAGTACTTCCAGCAGATCCTCCATGCAGGAAAAAAGCCTCGCGTTGTGTTCCAGTCCTACTTCTGATTACGTCAGTTGGACTCTCTTTGTTTTGACTTTTCAGAGAAAGAGTTGAGTCCCCAGTGACTTCATTCCTAAAGTGAATTCATGTGAAACAGTAATTAAAAGAAAAAAAAAACTTCACATTTTTCAGTGATCTGTGTTGAATTTTCTTGTGTGATTCTTGTCAACAGTTTCCCGGAGGGACTGGAAGATGTTTCTAAGTACCCCTCTTTGATTGGGGAACTTCTTAGAAGAGGATGGAATGAAACTGAACTGAAAGGGGTCTTAAGGGAGAACTTCCTCCGTGTCTTCAGGGAAGTGGAAAAGGTGAGATTAAAAACTAAACTGAATCCTGATCCTGCTAAGGCGGGGAGAAGAACTGTCAATGCCTTGCCGTTCTGCTTAATGAGAGAGTTGCAAGGAAACGTAAGCACTTAATGTAGTAATTCCAAATACTGGGAAAACAACCAAGATTGCAAAAGAGCATTAGCAGAATAAAAAAAAGTGAGAGAGGGGGAGTTGACAGAGCTCTGTGGGGCCTTTTTTCCTCTGTGGTAATCTGCTGGCTTCTAAATGGAATCACTTGATGGCGTGGAGAAGCTGCGACAGGCCCGCGTCACAACAGCGGCTCTGGCTACACGCGCTGGTGCGGTGAGGCATGCTGACTCCTGCAAGTCAATTGAATTACTGTCATGGGACCAGGCTGGGGTCCACAGGCATGACTAGATCGCTAATAACCTTGATCACGACGAGCTATAAACCTAAACGGTAGAAGCTCATGCAGGGACGAGGGAAGGAGGGAGACTGTATGAGTGTGAGGACCCCCTAGATGGCAACTTTTTCAAAAGTCCAGGTTAAAACTTGCCAACTGCTTACCTCCTTCTGTTTTTCTTTATAGGGATAAGTAAGTAGATATTATACACAGAGCTCTATAGACAATATATATTTCACAATATATTTCACAATGATCTTTTTTTTTTTTCCCATTTGCCTTTTGGGGGGGAATGTTAGATGAACAGTAATCAGGGAATTTTCTTCTGTTCCAGTTAATATGCCTTATGCTGAGTTGTATGTGCAGCAGACTGACATTATGAAAGTCTGAAAATCATCACACTCATCCATCTATAAGATCTAGTAGTTTTCTTCCTTCTAAATTAGACATGTTTGAGCCTTAAGACTGTGGGCTGACTTCAAGGAAGAACGCTCATGAGTTTATTTAAGGCTTCCCAGTTAACGCCATCCACATGTACCAATAGCCAAGACAAAGAACAGCCAGACCTGTGACTCTTGCTATAATGTGTGTGTAATGAATTCCAGGAAATAGTTTGTAGGAATATAAACAGCAGCATAATTATGTTGCTTTCCTCACATTCAAATGTGTTTTTGGAATGCAGTTTGAGCTGGTTCACTTGAAATAGTGTTGAAAAGTTTGCTAGCTGTGCAAAACTTTTTGCCGTTGTGCCAGTCTGATGTTCAGGGCCATCCTTTTGAATTGTTCTAGGTGCGGGACCTTGGACTAACGGATGTAAGTGAGAGCGAAATCCCCCAAGAAGAAGTGCAAAATTCCTGTCGCCTAGACCTAAATAATTATCAACTGCAGACAGCCAGGTCCTTTGGATTTCCTTCTGTGGCACAGTCTTTCAGTCTAACACTTGTAATTGTAGTATATGTAATACTGTATTATGAATCATAAGATCTATGAAATCAAGAGAGAGATAGAGGGAGTAACCTGCAATGTAACTAGCTTTCTTTTTTGGGTGTTGTTAATGTAAGGCTATGCTAAAATTTTGGTTATAATTTCTATAAATTCACCTGCATACCTGAAAGTTAATATAGATTTTAGATGTTGTGGCAAAAGCATTTGGAATTTGAAGTGATAAATTCTTTGTCATCTTGGCAAAACTAGGACCAACAGATGGAAATTATTCACATCTAATTAATAAATCTTCCAACATGTGACGCATGTTTTTGGTACCCATTTCGCGGTACTTGATATAAACACTGTGGTTCAGAAATACCTATCAGCAATTCCACACAGGAACTAGAGGATGGGATTCAGACAGCTACGCTAGGATGCTTTCAGTAATATTTCTGGTTAAATGCATACAACTTTCATCATCAGTTATTGGCTTGGTCAAGAAGGATCCCAGTAGATGTAGAAGTGTGTGGTAGGTTTTTTGTTTGTTTTGTTTTTTTAATGAGAAACTGGGTGATATGGCTAGGTGAATTCAGATGTCGTGCCTACCACTAGCATTAGGGATCCATCCTGCAGTACTAAACTCTTACTTTCGAACCCTGACCAGGACGTAAGGGCAACTAAAGCGCTGGAAAGTAACTGAAGGAAGGAGGTCGGATAGGGGTATTGTATTCGGATAGGGGTGACCAGGCAGAGCTGTAGATGCGCTTCTATAATTTGGGGGATGCTGTCTGTTGCACGTCCATAGAGTTGGGAACAGGAGTAAGCCAGGCCAAAACAGGAATTGTAGCTATTCAGAGGATGAGATCTTGTTCTGATATTTTTACTGCAGTCAGAACAGCAAAAAAGTGTTTAAATTAAATTTTATTAAAATGTTCTTCAGCTTTTTGGAAATCTTCACGTTTTGAGCAATGTTCCTGAAGTGGACTTATCAGTAGCAGTTTTTATTAATATTACAGCCAGCTAAGATCAGACCGTTGCCAAAGTATTAAAAAACATGCTATTACTTTATTATTATTTATCTTCTCCTGTTTCAACCTTTGGAACATGCATCTTTCAAGTCTGCAGTGTGTGTGAGGCTAGAAGCTGCTTTTTAGTAGAAGAACACATATTGTGATAGGCCTATTCTTGGTAGGCTCATGTGACTCAAAGCTGGAATTTTAATTAAAATAACACGAAATTCATGCTGAAATTGCAAGAAGGCATCACTAAATCTTTGTTGGGTTATTTCCGAGTAGTTGCTGGTAAATGCCTTTTTTGTTATATAATAATATTTGCTTTTATTGTGATTTATTGATATGATATCTGCACAATTTAACTTTAGTATAGTATCAAGCAAAGACTTGCAATTGGGCTATGGACAGTATTTGAAAACATACCAAGTATTTACCAACTGAAGAACAATGCTAAGCACGAATAGATTGGAAACAGCAAGTCAGCCATTCTCCAGAGTCACCTAAGATTGTTCCTGCCATCTCCTGTTGCCCATGTACAATTACGAGTTGCTGGACGAAGACCGTGCTGCTTTTATTGCTTCAAAATGAAGCTTCATTGACTCTCCTGATAAGGTGGTCTCTTTGAGAGTCACTTACTGAAGTTTTTACAAATTGTGTTGAATAATTTAGGGCATACAAGCCATGTTTTTAAGTACAGTTCCTCAAAAAATATTGAGCCTGGTTATGTATATACAAGTTGGAATTACTGCACTGACTCGGATGTCTTACCTTCCTTGATACTGCCTAAGTAGCATCAGAACTTGTTTTTAAGGCACATAACACTGGAATGATGATGAATTCAACAGGACAAATGTCTACTTCTCATCAATACTTTTACTAATAACTTTGTAAGTTCTTGGGAAACTGCCTTCCATCATCTCTTTGCACAGAACTAGTACTGCAACAGTAAGTTCACTGCATGTTTGAAATGAAAGATGCTTGTTTAGTTCTTCCAGCTTTTTTCTTTCTACCGTGTTGTAACTTTTCTGCCCACTAATTTCTACCTTTTGTCCACATGGCAGCAAGGATTCAAAATATATTCCTCCTCTTGAAGGTATGGGTAATAATTTTTATATGATCTTGATTCCACCATTCTATAGATACTTGTAGTTTATTTCCTCGTTTTAGCTATAGTATATTGCACTTATTTGTCTGACTGCTTTCTGTAAAGGGTAACTTGTATCCTTGTGGCAAAACATACACATGAAATTTAAATAAAATATTCTTCAAGCTCAGCTAGATATTGGTGTAATCTAGCAAAACACTGTAACGTTCAGTACGGCAGAAAACCCCCAAAGTACCATGCAACTCTGCTGCAGGAGGAAGGCCAGGGTACTGTAAGGCCACGGGGTGTGCTCCGCGCTGGAACGCAGCTCCGCCATGGCAGGCAGGAAAAAGTTGGACAGGTTTTACCCCGGAGCCTCCTGGATATGGACAGTCGGCCTCATCTTCACTTGGCTGCAGCCCAGGTTGTGGAGAAGTCTGAGCAAGCACCTGTGGAAAGGGAGTGCGTATGACTCAAAGGCACTCTAGTGAGCCCATGATCATGGTGCTTTCCACAGCACAACACTTGGTCAAGCAGGTCAAGGGTTTATGGGGATCCAGACAGGTTGTCTAACCCAGGGTAGGAGAGCCTCTGCTTCACCGCGTTTCTGACAGATCTGTGTTGGTCTAGAAGGCTACTTTTTCTACTACTAGCTACACCGTTTGTTCAGAAAATTTCAAATAAGCTTGTGTGAGACCAACATCAAGGTGCAAAATCATCAAGCAAAAAATGGAATCCCGTGCATCTTGCAAAGACTGTGCACGTAGTATCTAGCGTATCTAATGGATGCAGTTAGTTCTTAAATGCTCAAAATTGCCAGCTCTAACTTGAAAAGTGGTAGAAAGGCATCTCATTAGAAGTGCATTTCAAAAGTAAAATGATGTTGGACATGGCTGTGACTGCTGTCAGAAAAACTGCAGTGGCCTTTTGGTCTGAGTGCTAGTGTCCTGGTCCTACTGACAGTAGCTTGTAGTAATAATCACAACACTGCGTTTCTAAGAGCTCAAGCAGAAAATGGTTGCATTCCAATTTTTATCCCCCAATGGAGAGGATGATTTATCCAGGGATTTAATGCCTTTGCCATGCCCCAATTAATAAGAGCAATTTGCATTGGTAATTTGAAATGGATGCTAGCTAAACTGGCAGATTCTATTACAGCTGATGGTATCAGTGAAGTATCAGATATAATTAAGATAGCATCTTTGTAATGGGCTTTGTTAGTTGCCACATGGAAAAACACAACTTCTTATTTACTCTGTCTAAATAATGAGTAGTGGTAATATGCATTCTGAAAACAGTTATTAACTATTTTTGTAAAATTCAAAATTGAGGTACTCTGAAGTACTTCAGGCTGGTTTTGTAAATAGAAGCCAACTCCAAGGCTTCTTTAAAAATGCAAAGCTCATGCTTTCACAGGCATGAGACGCACAGCAAAAAAACTATAGACAAAAACACTGATACAGCCTATTGATTTGACTGTAAAGGACTGATGCCAGAGCCCTTCCCCCAGTGCTATCCCTTTTCAAAATAATGGCCTGCATTGTCTACAGAAATAAAGAACTGCAATTCTTAGTGGTCTCATTTGTAGGTGGTGATGCTAGAAAGCAGTCCTAAAAAGCTTACTACTGTTTTCAGGTATACAACTCATCTGTTACATAAAGTCTGAGTAGTTCTAGTTCACGTATCTAAGTTCTGCTGAGTGGGTGACTTGTGTGGGTTCTGGAAGGACTGTTGTACGTTTTACCTCGGATATGGGGTACTGAAGTGTGTTTGTACTTAACATCTGCATTCCTTCTTGTCTGTCAGCGAGCTGCTCAAGCAATATACCATCATATTTCTATGTTTCAAATACCATATATTAAGTCTAGCTACCCGTATAATTATGAACCCGTTCGCTTCTGTTCAATTTAATACGTAGCCTTAGTAGGCAGCTGCACCTTGGGATCAGCTTTGAAGAGTGGGGTATCATTTCATCTCTGTCCTCTTCCAGAGTAGGGTGCAGTGCCATAGCAGCTTATGCCAGCAGAAACTCTGTCCGCTCCTTGGCTGCGTGTCATCTTCCCCAACCCCTGTGACAGCACCAGTGTTTGTGTAACTGGTTCAGCAAGCTGGTCTGCTGAAAGCTAACTGCTTTCCTCCCTCAAGGGACTGGTTTTCTGCTATCAGCTCGGTGACCGGGTTCACCGTGTTTTGTGAATACATGTTGGTGGAGGAGAGGAGCAGGAAAGCTCCTGGCAGCTGAGGCTGCAATTTCCTCCATTCCCTATGCAAAGCAGCAGCTCCTCTGTTGACCCTTCTCTGCATTCATATATAGAGAGAAATGAACAATTTGCTTCAAATTCTGAAAATGAAACTTCTAAGGGACTGCACATGAATTATAGCAGAGGATTTTCCCACCAGTAGGGCTTTTATTTGCTAAGACTTGGATTCAGTTCACAGACCCAGCGCAGTACGCTAGCTGATCTTTGACTTCTGTTCAAGACAGGCTGTGATCCTGGATAACCCGCCTTGGGAATTTTGGAAGGCGTGAGTCAATGCTTCAAAAAAACAGATATTTTTCGCTGGTCTTGATTAGTATCTTGATATTTTACCTACAAACCTAACATCTACATAAAACAGCTCATGATGGTAGGTGTTTGGTGCACCTATAGATGTTTCTTTTTTCTTCTTTTTTTTTGAAACCAGAGACAAGTAAAAGCTTTTTAATATTTATTTATGATGTTGCTAAGATCACTGCGTAAGGTTTACCAGAGAAAATCCAAAATCATAGAAATGGGAGCCACTTTTGTCCCAGTTCTGTATTTTACGGATGCCCAGGATCTCTAGTGACTGAGCTGGAATTTCTCAGTCACTTGGCCTCGTATTACTGGAAAGCTGTTCACAGCCTGTTTCACTTCCTACCCACTCTTTCCCCACCTTCTATACTGTTTGAGAAATTACTGCAAGTTGTGAAGGGTTTTTTTGTGCGTGTGCAAAGAAAAATCAACAAATGACCCCCTTCCAAGCACCGTTTCGCTACAGTTACGGCCTCTGTGGAGATATTAGCCTTAGTTCAGCTGCTTCTATCATGAAACAATCGGTAATCGGGGAAGCCAACAAATTGTTTAAAATGCTAAGTAAACAAAGTGCAGCATTTAGCTTACATAACAGAAATGAAATGCTGCTGCTTCTAATTAAGGCTCAAACCTTAGCTATCAAAACTTATGTGTGAGGGCACTTGGATTTTGCTCCGTTTCTATTGTTTCTCTCCAAATGGCTTTGTAAACTTCACTGGGAGGACCTTCCCTCCTACTTAACGGGTAGATATTTTTCTTTGGAAGTCCTTTCTCAGAAGCTGGTCTTGCTATTTTCATAAAGCATTTCTTCGTCTGTGGAATCTACGGTTCTGCAGTGAAGGAAAAACATGGAATGTAGGAAGCAAGAATTCAAGTTCCACTGTGGGTTTTGCTGAGAAACAAAGATGAAAATAGCTAAGATTAAAACTGCAGCTAATAAAAGTTTTGTCAGACAAACCAAATGAAGGTCCCTGTAGTATGGAATGCAAACACTTGCAAAACAGTTTAATACAGCTTAGAAAAGTCTGTTTGGATTAATTCTCCAGAGTATTCTCCTGTAGATAATCTCTGAACATCTCAAGAACCTATCTGTGCCTGTGCTCCGTTTCTTCTCCGAGTAGCCATTAAAAATTAAATGGCTCTTGATAAATCTATCAATGCTAAAATTTAAACTAAACTGAAAATTAATCATTAAAAGAAGAAAAAAGTCTATGAGTAGTATTTTTCCAGCATCTTAATTTTACTTTGAAAATTACTGCAATATTTAATAAGTTTAATGGGCAAAACTTTGGTCTAGTTTTTACCTGAGTTTACAGATTGTGAATTTAAAAATAAACAAACAAAAAAACCCCCCAAGAACTTGGTAACTTTTCCACGCTTTAAGATGACATTAAGGTATATTTTGAAGAAAATGACTATTTCACATATCAAATTCAACTAAAAGTGTTTTTGCAAGATAACTGAAGGGGAGGAAGTTCATTCAAGTAAATAAATCCAGAAGAGTGGCACCATAGTGTCCTCTTGTGGTCTTTCAGTGTCTAAGACCTGACACGTTTTCTAGGAGAACAAGAGCAAAATTTTGCAGTTGCAGTTAGTGTACCAGCTCTTGTACCAACATAACGTGAACTCTCTTTGCCTTATTTTCCTCATTAGTAGCATACAGAGGATTACGTACTGCATCTCCCATAAGCTTTGACTACTCTGTCCCCATGTAGGTATTGTGGTCCTCTCAGAAAGACCTGCTTCAGTGACTGCAACTTGCCAAGCGCTGAAATAGATGGCGATCTTCATCAGTGAGAAACCTTTGCAGCCCCATCTCCGGTCTCTGGCTTGCTTTGTTCATAATGCCGGTAGGATTCTCGGATGTGGGGAGATAGGAATGTGCTGAAGAGGGAAGTTCACTGTGGTGAAATCTTGGCTGTGAACCTGCAGGAATTCGGCCAAGCCGCATGTCCAGGGAAGTCGTGATTTGGCAGCGGCCTCTTTTGTTTTGTTATTTTTTTCTGACTGTTGCCTCTGGGCTATTTATCGCTCAGGTTCCACTTGAGTGGAAAACAGCTTTTAAAACACCGAACAGTAGTTATGGAGCCACTGTTCTGCTTATGCCAGCTCTTCCCTGCACGTGAAATGGGGACCTCTTGCTCCCCTGCGATAACTCTTCCATTCTTCAGTGCAAACACTGTGGTCTCCCACACAGGGTACTTAAAGTTTGTAGTAGAGTGAAAGAATTTGTAAGGTTTAAATATCTGTATTTAAATTTTTTTTAAATGTTGGCTTTAAAACTTGCAAGTATTTAATTCTTTCAGGCATCAGGCCTTCGTGCCTAACTTGCTCAGATGCCTGACTCCAGACTCTTCTGGAAGACTCTTCTGGAATCTGAAGATTCCAGACTCTTCTGCCTGCCTTGAAAGTAGCTACGCTCCAGGCCTGCGGCAGCCGGTGCCTGCAGGGGAGTCCGGAGCCGGCTCGCAGGGACAGCCTGACGCAGCTGGGCCCCCAGCAGCGAGAGTGGCTGCACGCTCGCCAGTATAGCACCTTTACTGCCGTGTTCCCAGCCCTGGGTTTGGATGTGCTGTCCCCAAAGGAGACACCACAGCTGCCCATGAGCCTAGGCTACGCGACTGTACTGCTGCAGCGCT